TTCGCAGCGACTGACTGGACAGCGGCCAGCTGGACTAGGCAGGCTGGGGGAGAGTCGAAGGGGAGGGGGAGGGACGGGAAATGGGGAGCGGCCTGGCGCGGTACGGTGTGGGTACCCTACAGTGTGTGTTAAGTGGCTGTGGATGTGACCACAGTGTGCTGCCTGCGTGACAGAGGCACCAGGAGGGATAGGACACTGTTAGTCCGCCATATCCATACTCCACCTGTTTGGGCCATTGTCCAATGCAGAGAGATGACATGTTGCACGGCTCCTGACACGGTGCTTGACTCAGGAGAGCGCTGGCGACTGCCCCCCTCCCCAAGAAGAGGCGGCATGCCACCTGTAACGACCGCTGAAGCCGCAAAAGAACTGAGGCTACAGGTGAGCGGTCTGCCGCTCAGTTGCACGCAGAGAGTTCGAGGCCATGGCCCGTTGCAACGAACACCGGCATTCAACCCCCGGGCCCCCTTCTCTTCCCCCACACGCTTATTGTTTGCCTCGGCTTCAACAGCCAAAAAGAACAACGCGCAGCTCGAAAGAACATCCATGTTGTCGAAAATGACCGCACAACGTGTCCCGGTAATCGATTGTCTTGTTGAGACGTTTATCGCAGCATGCATCTCCAGTGTCACACACACTCCCTTGTCTCTCCAAAAAGACGAACGACTGCCTCCCAAGAAACCCAGATGTCTCAGCACGATACGCCTAGCTAGCTGCCATTCAACAACTTTGGGACGTATTGCTTGGCAAGCGTCGGGGTTAGCAGGTAGGCTCAGAGCAGCCTGAGAAGGTCAAGAGCCGGAAGCTCGAGGTGGAATGTGGCTCGAAACCTTGTCTGCGTTGGTGGTTGTCTTGCCAGTTCTCCTTGACTTACATGGCGCCAGCCGCATCTCTCTCTCGCTCTCGCCGCTATGGAGCCCTCCCCTCTCCCGCCACTGAGGGCTCATGTCATGGATCAAGGGGAATTCAGACCTTCTCCGGCTGCTTTCCGCTCGACGTCCCCCTTGCGTGCGAGTGTGTTTGTGTTCTATGTGCCGCGTGGGGATCCCGATCCTGAATCAACATCATGGCATGCGTCCCATTGCTTCGTCACGAACGCGGCGACGATCACCGTCTCAGAAGAGCATGCTGCGAGCCCAAACCTCTTTTCCGTTCAGCTCGTCCTGCCATGGCAAACCAGGACGCATTCAAATCATCTGAACCACCCTACGAGACACCTTTCCGGCTCCCCCGGTCTCCCTGACAGGGCCCGCAGGCAGCTGGTGAGTGGCTGACTACGGCAGGAAGGGTGCAGACAGACAGGCAGCCAGCCAAGCCAGTCCGTAAGTCAATACCGTCTAAGCTTGTGTGCTGGCTGCGCAGGAACGAGGAGAATCATAACACGGCACGCCTATCGAGCCCGTATGCCGCTTGTTCCTCCGCACAGATCACACTCATCTCCGCCCCAGTCTCCTGCCAGCTCAAGCAAGCAAAAAACAAGCAGCGGCCCCAAAAGATGCTGAGGGCAGGGCGGAACTCGGGGGAAAAAAACAATGCACGCTTGCGGAACATGGCTAGTTGTGCTGGCTGGGCTAGTTGTGTGACCTGGAGTCAAGTTCGAGCCCCCTTTCGATGGCTGGTCTCGTGAGGGCGTGGTGGGCAGAGAGTTTCGGGCGACAGACAGGCTGCATGGGAGGAGGTGCAAGCAAGGTCAACTACGGCCTTCCGTGCTTGGCGGCTCGATGACCTGATGATGTATGTAGCCTGAATAATGGTGCTACAGTGCCGTGGTTACTGTGCCGGGCCCTGTCCTCTTGAACAACATCTCACACTGTGCCTGTGCCCACTCGGGTCAGCAAGAGAAAAGCTGCGACAGGCGGCCGTCCCGAGCTCAGTAGCGCCGTGTCGTATTGGCTGAGCCTCTAGAACCCAGTGGTTTTTGTCTGCTCACCATCAATCTCATCCCCCCTTTTTTCCCCTCATCCATCGTGCATCGTGGCGATGAGCGAGCTGGAGGCCAGAACTGGCATTAGAAGCCATCTCGATCAGGCGACGGACCTCGGGCGTCATGCGTCGCCCGCAACGTCCAAGCAACGCCGCCAGTGCAGCCGAAAAGTCGGGGAGGAAAACCTGGAGCACACCTGCCTCCGCGAAAGCCCAAAGACGCACCAAGCCAATCGTGTCTCATGATGGCGCTCCCCTCGTGGCGCTACACCCGATGCGGCAGTAGCGCTGCGCCATCGGTCCGAAAAGGCCATTCTCAGTGGCTGTTGCACAAACTGTTCTGGAGGCGTCTGTGAAGCTGCAAGGCTGACGCTGTTGCAACCTCGATGATTGGCACCCTATTTGCCTCGAGTGGAATGCGGCTTCACTGCTCCATCTTCATCAAGACGTGTGGTTCCAAGACCTTGTTCTTCTCCTTCCCACCACCAAGACCTCTGCAGGACAATGCGTGCGATGGATGGGTCTGCCGCGTTCTTGGGATCTTTCATCGAAGCGTCATTTTCGTTCCCTCCCTCTGTCGGACTTTACCTTGATTCCGGATGACCCTCTGTGATCAGGTTTCGGACCTTGAGCTGGCAGACAACTTGATCCACTTCCCCGGGGACACAATAGGGCCCGTTCAGCTGGCCCGCGCCTTCCCGGATGGGCCGCGCATTCCTTTCTCATCAAGTGCCGTGCTTGTCGCCTAGGCCATCATGTTTCACTGCGAACAAGTACCGAGACTGGGAGCGGATGATGCGCAATCTGTTGATATCGATCCTGTCTATCTATGCGGAAAAAAACTGACATCTCACAAATCCCATTCCAGACACCACAAGACAAGAACCCACCACGAAACAAACTTACTCAGCCAGGATTCGCGTCAGAGCTCGCCATCTCCAGCGCAGCCCCCGGCAACCGGCACACCTTGGGCAGATACCACACCTCCTCGCGCAGTTCCTCGCATCCCGTGCTCCCGTATGTCTCGGCGGGCACAAAGTCGCTCGTCTGCAAGCTGCCCCTGACGAAGAAGCATAACCACGCCTCGTGCAGCACCGAGCCGCCGCGCCCACTGCACCGCAGCACGACCTTGCCGCCCGTGTGCTTCTCGAGGGCCCCCTCAATGGCCTTGATGGGGTACTTGTGGACGCGCGACGGCACGATATCCGCTTCGGCCAGGACGGCGTACGTGTTGAGCGTGCGAAAGAGGCCGAAAGCGCGGGTGAAGTAGTCGGCCACCTCGGCGCCGGGCGCGTAGGCCGAGGCGTAGCACGAGGGCGCGAGCGTGTTGATGCAGCTCGCATGCTTGTTGTACTCGTGGGCCCAGAGGTGGTCGTTCGAGCCACTGTGAACTTGGTCAGCCTCCCTTCCCGGCGCACGTGAAGCCATGATCGGGTGACAAGGCGTCAAAGGTTTCGTCCAGGTTTGGCTGGGGGAGTATACGCACTACGCTGCCACCCAGTATCTGTTCATCTGTTTGACGAGATCCTCGTGGCCCTGGTCGACGAGGATCTCGGTGATGTTGTTGAAGTGCGGCGTCATTCCACAGAAGGCCTTGTAGCTTCCATCGCACAGATCCGGCCTGTGATGACGCTGTCAGCTGTTTGTCTGGGTGTGTGCATGCCTATCTGACCGGCTGGCTGTGCTTCACTGAGTCTGTTGATCCCCCCCTCTCTTCCGCCCTCCGTCCAAGAGTCATCACATACCAGAGTCCGTGGACCGTCCAATCGCGCTCCGAACCGCCAGCGTGGACTTGTTGGTCCCAGAACTGCGTCAGAAGCATCCGCCCGCTCGGTGCCACGAAGCAGCAAGACGCACCGTCCTCTGGCGCGCTGAGGCAGCTCGTCGGTCCGTCGATGGGGCAGGAGGGGGCGCTCGTCAGCGGTTTGTAGGGCGTGAGGCTGGTGGGCCCTGAGGAGGGGGAGATGGGGACCTGAGATAGGAACTCGGCCGCATGGCTAAAGAGCCCGCGAAGGGAGAATTGGGGCGCCATGACTGCAGTATGTATGGTGCTGATATGTATTATAGTATAATTGAGAACAGATGCTCAAGGATTGAACTCCAAGAGTGCAGAAGGTCGAGAGTACGTCGCGAATGAGTTGGGAGCTGGAAGCTAGGAGCTGGGAGCTCAGGTGCCTGATATGGGGAGATAAGAGATAAGAGACGTCACATGGGGATTCTGCCGGTTTCACGTGGTCCCGCTTCGCCTCAGCTTCGCCCCAGCTTCTTCACCGCCTTGGGAGTCATTCCATGTGGTTGGATTGGACGCTCCTGCCGTCTCATGAACAGTCAACTGGTACTTCAGAACGTAAATATCTTGGACAGACAGACGTTCAGTGGCAGAGAACAATAATATCTTTGCCTTGGCTCTCGGACCGACCCTCGAAGGCCCTGTTCATCGTGCGACATGATGGATTCGCATGTCAGCTTTGCGCGCCTCCACCTCTGTAACCAGGCCAAACATGATCCAAGTCTGGATGGAGGACTGCAATATCAAACAGCTGTCGGTGTTACGCATCGCGGCGGATACGTGTGTCCTCAACTCATATCACGCCATGAAAAGCGCATTCATGTTTGCACAACGCTCCGAAAGCCTGTACACTCACTGCCGCTGAGGTTGCACCGATTGTTGTGGATGTCACGGTTCGAACCAAGTCCCAATCACACAACGATGAAGTCAATTGCCACGTACTACATCAGGCTGCACCGACAGTCGCCGTCATCGAGGTATCATCGAGCATCTCAACTTGTGAGTGCCAAGTGACGCCCCCCAGCGCCTGCAGCTGCTGGAACTAGCTTGACAGTGAGGCCAGAATGGTTTGTCGATGATTTCTGAGTCGCCACGATTGACCAGAGTCCATAGTGGCATAACAGCCACCTATCGCCAGAAATAGATACGCCTCTTCGACGCATATTCGGATTCCTGGCTTACGATCCGCCGGGCGCATCTACCGCTTGCGTAACGAAGAGCGCCTCTGAAATTGACGAGCAACCCAATTACATCAAATCACCAAACTGGGGGCCTAAGGAGCCGTCCAGGTCCGTCCCAATACTACTTCACCAAATCCCAGATCGGATCCGCCGAGTTCCACCTTCCGGATCCGCGGCGCTACCGTGAACCAGGCACTTGACCATGTCAACGCACGT